ATAAAGTGAAAAATTGTTGTCCCAACACTGACCCTTGTGGAACACCACTTATCACCAGCTGCTATCCTAAGAAAGATCCTTTTAACCCCACTCTCTGCTTTCTGCCAGACAGCCAATCTTCTATCCATGATACTACTTTGCCTCTAACACCATGGGCCCTTATCTTATTCAGCAGCCTCCTGTGTGGCACCTTGTCAAAGGCCTTCTTGAAGTCCAGGTAGATAACATCTGTTTGCTCACCTTGGTCTAACCTGCTCATTATTTCCTCAAAGAATTCTAACAGATTTGTCAGGCATGTCCTCCCCTTGATGAAGCCATGCTGACTTTGACCTATTTTACCATGTGTTTCCAAGTATTCAGAAATCTCATCCTTCACAATGGACTCTAAAATCTTACCTACGATTGAAATTAGGCTAATCGGCCAGTAACTTTCATTCTTTTGCTTTACTCCCTTTTTAAACAGGGGTGTCACGTTAGCAGTTTTCCAGTCCTCTGGGACCCTCCCCAACTCTAGTGATGCCTGAAAGATCACCACTAACGCCTCCACTATCTCTTCAGCTATCTCCTTAAGAACTTTGGTGTGCAGTCCATCTGGTCCTGGTGATGTATCCATCTTCAGGCCATTCAGTTTTTCTAGCACCTTCTCCTTGGTGATGGCCACCATACTCAGCTCTGCCCCGTGACTCTCAAATTTTTGGGATATTACTCGTGCCTTCCACTGTGAAGACTGACGCAAAGTAATTATTCAGTTCCTCAGCCATTTCCTTGTTCCCCACTACTATCTCCCCAGCATCTTTTTCCAATTGTCCAATGTCCACTTTTGCCTCTCTTTTGCTTTTTATATATCGAAAGAAACTCTTAACAGTCCTCCTTTATATTACTGGCTAGCTTACCCTCATATTTAATGTTATCTCTCCTTATTTCTTCTTTTGTTGTCCACTGTTGGTCTTTGTAAGCTTCCCAATCCTCTGGTTTCCCACTGCCCTTCACCACATTATATGCTTTCTCTTTTGCTTTTATGCTATCCCTGACTTCCTTCATCAGCCATGTTGCCTCATTGTCCCTGTACCATGCTTCTTTTTCCTCAGGATGTATCTCCTGAATTACTCTTAGAAACTCCTGCCATCACTATTCTACTGTTTTTCCTGCCAGGCTCCTCTCCCGGTCAATTCTGCCCAGCTCCTCCCTCATGCCTCTGTAATTGCCTTTATTCAGCTGTAATACCATTACCTTTAATTCTATCTTCTCCCTCTCAAATTGCAGAGTAAATTCAATCATATTATGATCACTGCCTCCTGAGGTTCCTTCACCTTAAGCTCCATTATCAAGTCTGCCTCATTGCACAACACTAAATCCAGTATTGCCTGTTCCCAAGTGGGCCCCACCATCATCCATGATTTTTACAGTACTTTTCTAATAACCCCATTTATTTCTTCCCTTTCTCTGTCCTACAATGTCTTTGTGTATACTCTATCCTATGGTGTAGCTACACTTCAGGGGCCTGTAAACTACCTCTTACCCATTTCTCATTTTTACTCAAATTGATTCCACATCATCTTGCTTTGATTAAGGTCATCTCTCACTGTTGTACTAAAATCATCTTTAATTTACAGAGCTACACCACCACCTTTTCTTAGCTTCATGTCCTTACAAAATATCAAATACTCTTAAGTATTCAAACCTCAGCCATGTTCACCTTACAACCATGCCTTTGCAATGGCTATCAGGTCATGCATATTTATTTCTTTTTGTGCTAATAATTTGCCCATTTTGTTATGAATGCTGCTTTCATAAAGATACAGAACATTTAATTTTGTCTTTTTACTATTTTTTTCAAACTCTGGCCTTACCTGCTGGTGCACGCTGTAGTTTGCATGTTCTGCCCCCTTCCTATTTTGTTGTATTTACTCAAGTCGCTACCCTATGTTATTGCCTTCTATTTTAACTTTCAGTTTACCACCCCCAATCACTTGATCATTCCCCCTTCCAACACCCCCACCACCCTACCTCCCAATTAGTTTAAAGCCTTGTCTGTAGCCTACTTTTATGACTTACCAGAATGGTGGTCCCAGGCACAATCCAGATGAAATCATTCAAAAGACACAGATCCCACTTTGCCCAGTAGTGTCAGTGCATCAGGAATTGAAAACCATTTTTTTTCCTACACCGTGGTCTTAATGCCTTAATCTTATTTACTTTACGATAATTTACCTGTGGCTTGGTTAGTCATCCAGAGATTATTTACTACCTTTGTGTTGATGTTGTCTTTTTACTAAAATTCAACTTAAGGCAATATTGCTGCAGGTCATTCATCACTTTTTTCATCACTTATTTCATCAAAAGCGCAACTAATCAATCTTGACCTGCCTATTACAAATCCATGCTGGCAGTGCATCATTAACTCAGACCTTAAAGGCCCGCATACATTTAAAATTAGACTGGGGCCATTAAGCCTATCATGTCCATGCCATTCAACAAAGATCTGCATACAATATTCCTATTTTACAGCTAGTTCTGGATGCTATGGTAATGTAAGCGAGTATCTAAATTCTGCTTAAATAAGAGCTTCTGATTCAACAACCCTTTCAGGCAATGAGTTCCAGACTCTCACCACCCTGTGGGTGAAAAGATTTCTCCTCAACCCTTCTCTTAAGCTTCCTATCTCTTTCCTTCAATCTATGTCCTTGGTTATTGATCCATCTACTAAAGGAGCAAGTCGCTTACAATCCACTCTATGTATGTCTCTCATGAACCCCTATCTGGCCCCATCTCAACATTCACTGCTCCAAGGAAAACAGTCCAAATCTTTCCTCCTAAATCTGACCCTACAGCCCAGAAAACATCCTGGTAAATGTCCTCCAGACTGTCTCTCTCATATCCTTCCTATAATGTGGTGCCCAGAACTGCACATACTCCAGTTGTTGTCTAACCATCATTTCATACATTTCCAGCACAATCTCCCTGCTCAGGGATAGTAAGAACTTCAGATGCTGGAGTCAGTTATAATTCAATGTGGAGCTGGAGGAACACAGCAGGCCAGGCAGCATCGGAGGAGCAGGAAAATTGATGTTTCGGGTCAGATTTCTGAAGAAGTGTCCCGACCCGAAACGTAAACTTTCCTGCTCCTCTGATGCTGCCTGGCCCGCTGTGTTCCTCCAACTCCACACTGTGTTATCACAATCTCCCTGCTGTTATATTTCATGCTTCAGCTAATGCAGCAAGTATCCTAGGTGCCTTCCTAACCACCTAATCCACCTGCCCTGCCTATCTTCAGGGATTTTTGGATATGCGCACCCTGACCTTCAGTACTATATGGATTCTCTCCAAATTCCAACCTCTCCAAATGCCACTTGACCTATTTCCCCAATTATTGTTTCTGAAAGCTTGCCCACTGCTGATGTCAAACTTACTGTAGTTGAAGGGCCTGTTCAAACGTCCTTTTCTGAATTGGAGAGTCATATTTGCCATTCTCTGGTGTGTTGCCAATACATTGTATCTCAGTCTTTGCTTGCACACTGTGCCATGACTGGTTCTTTCCTGCTGCTGGCCTGGGTCAAGAGGACATTGCCAACTCCAACTTCAGTGTAGCTGCCACTTGAAATGTTAATGACCTCCAAGGTCCTCAACCTATTAACAACATTTTAATAAATGGCAAGTCATTCTGGAGACTAGACTGGACTAGAAATGTCCAAGCTCTTATTCAAACCCTGTACCATCAGAGCTCTCATAGGAGAATGCCTCTCAGCCCCTCAAGCCTGCTTAGCCATTCTAGATCATAACTGACCATCTACATCCCACACTAATCTCATATCCCTTGATATGATTAGTAAATAGAAATCCCTTTCTTAGTCTTGATGATGCTCAATGACTGAACTTCCAAAACCCACTTGGGTAGAGAATTCCAAAGATTCCTCATTGAAGAGGGCTGCCCTATCTCAATCCTTGTCTATACTGAGACTCTGTCTCCTGGTTCTAGATAAGAGGGGAATTATCTTTTCAATATCTATTCTGTATCTCCATTTAAGAATTTTGCAAATTTCCATCAGGTTACTGCTCCTTCTCCTAAACTCCAGAAAGTGGAAGCCCTGACTCCTGAATCTCTCCTCATAAGACAACACCCCTGATCTCAGGAATCAATCTGATCGACCTCTGCTTCATTCCATCTATGGCAAATATATCCTTCCTTCATCAAAGTGACCAGACTACATGGGTTTCCTCCGGGTGCTCCAGTTTCCTCCCACAGTCCAAAGTTGTGTTGGTTAAGTGGATTGGTCATGCTAAACTGTCCATAGTGCAGGCTAGTTGGATTAACCATGGAAAATGCAGGGTTACAGGGATAGGGTAGGGGAGCGGGTTGGCATGAACTCAATGGGCTAAATTGCCTGTTTCCACACTGCTCATAGATCATAGAACTCCTAGTGTGGAAATATACCCTTTGGCCCAACAAGTCCACATCTATCCTCAGAGTATTCCATCCAGACCCATCCCCCTATAACCCACCTAATCTACACATGCCTGCATACTATGGGCAATTTAGCATGGCCCAATCCACCTAGCCTGCACATCTTTGGACTGTGAGAGGAAACCAGAGCACCTGGAGGAAACCCAAGCAGACATGGGGAGAATGTGCAAACTTCACACAAGACAGTCGCCCGAGGGTGGAATCAAACCCGGGTTCCTGGCACTGTGAGGCAGCAGTGCTAACCACTGAGCTACCCACTGGAGGGAATCTATTCTGTTTCTATGAACTGTATACAACACTCCGGTTGTGCTCTCACCCATGTTCCATAAAATTGAAGCAAGACTTTCTCTGCCCTTGGTGTAGTCAGGTCCAGCTTATCATTCGCCTTTCAAACTGCTTCTTTCAAACCTCTTAAAGGGACCCTGCATCACCAGAGCAGTTCCAATCTTTTAAAGGGAACCTGGATTATCAGTTTTTGTCCAATAGCTTTCGTCCCTTGGAGAAGCCAGGAAGAGTTTGAGCAAGGATGGCAACAAAATAAAATGCAAGGTTTTCAACAGTCTTTTATTGTGGAAATGTTCATTTTCCAACAATTGGCATTCATAGATAGAAAATCACTGGAATGTAGAATTCGCCAAGCTTCCAGTGATAATCTGCTATTCGGAAATCTCTCTCATATAAGTATAAACTCTGCTCCTGCATCGAAAAGGAAGAAGGTGCATTTCTCCGGCGCCTGTCACAATCTCAGGGTGTCCTTAAGAGCTTCACAGCTTGCAAGTGCAGTCACGGTTGTAATGCAGGAAATGTGGCAGTCAATGTATGCACAGCAAGCTCTCACAAGCATCACTGAGTTAATGACCAGATCATCTGCTTCTGCTGTTGATGGAGGGATAAATGACAAGGAAGTCAGGGATAGATTGTAGGGCACAGAAGGAAATCAATTGGTCCATATTGTCCATGCCAGCTTGTTGAATGAGCCATGTCCAGTTACCTCTGTACCCTGTTGTAAGCAGACCGGTGTTTAGAATTTTAGCTTTAAGATTTTGTTGGCTTTGTTTGGCCATTTTAGATGCTTCTATCAACATGTCATTTCATACTTATACATTTTGATTCCTTGGGATGAGAGGTCTGGTCACTTATGAATCAAGGTTTGCTCTTGCTTAAGATAAAATAAACACTCTAGGACACTCCATTCTCTTAGAGTAAGGGGATATGTTCACACATGGACAGATCCAATCAAGTGGACTTTCACCATGTATTCGCAAACTCAATTCCTTTCATTAATGAGGTTAATCCCTAAGCAAGGATAAGAGGAAGGTTCCGAGCACCTTGCTTCTGAGTTCTCCATATATCCTGTGGACAGTTAAAGTGATCCTGGCTCAGGCAGTGATTTAGATCAATCTAAATGAGGACAGTTTTTGGGCCCAGTTAATCAGGAATTTTCTGTCAACTTGGTGACATTTTACCTCAAGCGCGGAACAGGTTTCCTGTCTGTGAATTGCTATTGGGTCTAGTATTGCTCTCTGTCTTGTATTTCTGTTGGATATAACTTTGCACCAATTAATAGGAAGGCATCGTGGCTCAGTGGTCAATGCTACTGCCTCACAGCACCAGGGACCCAGGTTCGATTCTACCCTCCGGGTGACGGTCTGTGTAGAATTTGCACATTCTCTGCGTGTCTGTGTGGGTTTCCTCCCACACTCCAAAGATGTGCAAATTTAGGTGGATTGCCTGTGCTAAATTGCCCATTATGTGCAGGTTGGGCAGATTAGCCATGGGAAATGCAAGGTTACAGGTAATGGAGGGGGAGGGCATGGGTGGTTCTGAGAGGGATGATATTCAGAGGGCCAATGTGGACTCAATGAGCCAAATGGCCTGCTTTTACAGCATAAGGATTCTATATTGGTTACCTAAATGTCGTCAGTTGTTAGATGGGCACAATGTTTTACTCGATTCTACTGAATAAAATTTGATATTATGCATTAACTCAATATCCTAGCCTTTACTGGTGTTATACCTCTGTTGAACTTGAGCTTTGCAGTTTGAAAAGGTTAATTCAAAATTTTTAAATTAAGTGAGCTAAACCGAATTGAATTGACCTGAATTATCGAAAGACCCTTTTAAAACTCACACGATAATTCACTCATAGTGCTGCCAATGTTTACCTTGTCAAGCTCTTTATCCAATTTCCTTTTGAGAGTTACTATTGATTCTGTTTCCACTCCACTTCCTGGGAGTGTGTGTCCCAGATCTGAACACTGTGGTGTGAAAACATTTTCCTTACCCCAGTTCCAACTCCATTGCTAATTATCAGGAAATGTATTGTGAAAACCTTCGCTTCACAGTCATCGCAATGGCTAATTGCACTCTGATTAGATTGAGGTTCTGTGGTACACTGCTTCTTGTTGGACAGTCATAAATCTACAGTGTAAGACCTGGGCAGCTAAAGACATAGCCGCCAACATTTAGCACAGAAAATTGGTAATGTACAAGAGGCCAGAATCAGCCAGGTGCAAAGATCGGTGCAAGGCTGGAGTACATGATGGAGATATAGGGAGAAACAAAACCCCAGATGGATTTAAAACAAGAATGAGAAGCTCACGAATCCAGTCATTGGCGTGCCGAAAGCTTGTGTGGCTCAGCGAACACAGCATGGTGATGGGTGAACATGACGTGGTACAAGCTAGGAATAGCACAGCAGAATTTTAGATGGGTTTGAGCTTACAGAGGTTACAGACTATGGGAGGTCGGCCATGGAGTAGTCAGTCCTGTAGATACAGAAAGCATGAATGAGGACTTCAGCAGCAGATGAATGGAGGTGGGCAATGGTGGTGCAAGGTGGACGATAGAGGGCATGTGCAGAGGGTCAGGTGATCATCTCGCATTAACATTGGCAAAGAAAAGGATTATGGGAGGTCACTGAAGGTTTTCTTTGTTGGGTGTCCTGTGGGTTTCTCAGGTTCTTTTGCTTTCTCTTCATACAACAAGATTCTGTGCAAAGAGAGAAGGCATTAGCTAGGTTGTCATTTCAGCTTAGGTACCTCACACACTCAATCACAGAACATTCCTTGACTTTGCCCTTACATCATGAAAAATGGATTTGTTTTGACGACAAAGTATACTATTTCTTGCACACCCCGTGTCAAACACTCTAAGGGCAGGTACAGAAGAGGGTATGTAGACAGTAAAACTCACTCTACACTGTTCCCATCAAACACTCACAGGGCAGGTACAGGACGGGGTTAGGCACAGTGCAAAACTCTCTCTACACTGTCCCCATCAAACACTTCCAGGACAGGTAAACCACAGGGTTAGGTACAGAATAAAGTTCCCTCTACACTGTCCACATCAAACACTCCCAGGACAGATATGTTGCAGATTAAATGCAACGTAAAGCTCTTTCTTTACTATCCATCAAGCATGTACAATGTAGATACAGCGCAGAGTTAGACATAGATTAAACGACCCTCTGCACTATCCTATCAAACACACAAGGGGCATGTTCAGCACTGTGTTAGATACAGAAAATAGCTCTTCTACACTGCTCCATCAAATGCTGTCAGGACAGATGCAGCACGGTGTTAGAATTCCCTCTGCACTACTCCATCAAACACACACAGGGCGTGTGCAGCACGGAGTCAAATACAGAGTAAAGCTCCTCTATACTGTCCTGTCAGGGTACTCTGAGGGCTTATGCCAATGCCGCCTGAAAGCTAGAAAGTGAGAATGAAGCCTTTGCGATAAGGGCTGTGATAAGCTCCATCTACTCGTGTCTCACTCTAAATCCTTGAATGAATGATGAATCCACCTTCATATACAGTGCAACCCTATCTCCAGCTGGCAAGGTGCCCATATCCAATTAAATACTCACAGGGAGAAAATAGCCTGCAGCCTGGAGTTACTGATCTACAGGGTTGAAGTTTTTCAGTGCAGTTCATCTGATCAAGATGTAAGTGATCATCGAGCTAGTTTTAAAATCAACAGGCAATATGCTATGTCCACCCACAAGCTGTTTCTCATAATGTCATTTAAAATTGATTAGTCGTGGGCAGTACATGGACACTGTGATTTTAAAATGCATTTTATACCTTTTTTTTGCATTTAGTGGAGAGGATGAGATTTAAACTGAGTGTTGAGGTTGATATTCAATAGTATTGCCATCACTGAATCCTCCGCTATCAACATCCAGGAGGTTACTATTGATCAGGAACTGAACTTGACCAGCCATTTAAATACTGTATATCCGGGAACAGGTCAGAGGCTGAGAATTCTGCAATGAATATCTCACCTCCTCTCTGCCGGAATTCTGTCCACTTACACAAGGCACAAGTCAGGAACGTGATGGGATATTCCCCATTTGCCCAGATAGTGCAGGTCCAACAAGACTCAAGAAGCTTAACACCATCCAGGATAAATCAGCCCACTGATGGGATCAGTACCCCATCTACCACCTTCAACATTCACTCCCTTCACCACCGCTGGCAGAGTGCATGCCATCTACAAGATGCACTGTGCTAACTCACCATGGCTCCTTAGAAAGTACCTTCTAAACTAGCAAACTCTACCATCCAGAAGGACAAGGGCAGCAAACAGATAGGAACCCAACCATCCACACGTTCCCTCCAAGCTAAACACCATCCTGACTTGGAAATGTATCACGGTCGTCAAAATCTCCGAAGTCCCTTCCTAATAGCATTGTGGGTGTCCATACACTCCAAAGACTGTGACAATTCAAGATGGTGGGTCACCAAACACCTTCTCCAGGGCAGTTAGGGATGGGCAACAAATTCTGACCTTGACAGCTGCCTTCACAATCCTTGAACGAATAAAAATTTAAAACCCTGTCAATCACCCACACCAGCCCCTGTTTCTTTCAGCCCGCAACTCTCTGTAGGCAGGTTCAGTTCAAATTGCCCCCAAGACCCGCAATGAACTAGAAAATGGACAGGGGTTGCTATTGTAATAAAAGCAGTCCATGTGATTCTGCTTGTCTTCCGCTGCTGTACAAGACAAGTTCTTGCTGACACACAATCCCAACTTCAGATTTATACACTGTCTCGCTGTCTCTCTCTCTCTTTCAAACACACACAGACACACATACACACAAACACACATGCACACACATACACACACACAAACACACAGACACACACACACACATATACACATACACACAAATACACACACACACAGACACACACGCGCACATATACACACACGCAAAGACACATACACTCCCAAGTACCCCCATGAGCCACCCTTTCCCCTTTATCTCTCTCTATCTCTCTTGCTGTCTGAAGGAGGACTTACATTTTCGCGATGGCCGACCGCTTTCCTAGCATCATCTTCACGAAGGCTGAGTATGAAATAGTCTCGCTCATGTCTCCCACCACCTCCTTGATCATTTTCTTGAGCTCCAGGTGGGTCTTGGCTGCGCCAAGTTTCTCCAACATTCGCTTCAGTCCCATGATGTCTGAGTGAGAGGGTGAGGAGGAAAGAGAGAAAGTTTGACTTGGTGTTGAAACAACTCAGTTTATCTCTCATCAGCCTACAATATCCATAAACCCTTGGTGGGGTGCTCATCACTGCACGTGGTCACTATCCCTGGCAATGCCTGTGGGGACCAGCCAAGGCATTGGGATTCTGCCTTAGTTGGCCAGGTTGCCACAGCTGTGGCACTTGGATCATCATACCATAGAGGTGTGCAGCATGGCAAAAAGGCCTTTTGGCCCATCAAGTCCAAACCAGTCAAAAGGAACCACCTAACATTCTAATCCAATTTTCTACCACTTGGCCCATAGCCTTGGAATCACAGGTGCGTATCTAAATACTTCTTAAATGTTATGAGTGTTTCTGCCCTTACTACTCTTATAGGCAGTGACTTCCAGATTCCCACCACCTCTGGGTGAAAAAACTTTTCCTCACATTCCCTGTAAAACTTTCTGCCCCTTACCATCAATATATGTCCCCGACCATTGAACCCTCCGACAAGGGGAAAATTTATCTCCTGTCTTTTGGATCAGCCACGATCCTATTGAATGCAGAGCGAGCTTGAGACACTGAATGGCCTACTCCCTCACCTATTTCTTATGGTCTACCCGATCTATGCCTCTCATAATTTTATACATTTCAATCATATCCCCTTTGGTCTCCTCTCCTCCAAGGAAAACAATCCAGTCTGTCCAATCTCTGTTCATAACTAAAACTCGTCAGCCCATGCCACATCATGGCCAAAGCCATGAGGCCAGGCATATGAGCCAAAGCTCAGGATTTTGGAGTTGAATCAAACTCTGGCCCCAGGGTAACCTATTGACCATAAGAGCTGCTGGATTGATGGAACCATCCCCAGTGCAACCAAAAACACCAACTCTCCATCAGCCTTCAACAACAGAAGCATGACCACCCTTGCCCCTTCTGACCTTGCCCCGCAAAATGTGGTAGACTTCCAAATTCATAGGGAAAGGTTCAACAACTTCATCAGGGAACCAAAAAAAATATAGAATCAGCCTCATCAGGGTCAGCCCTGTCCCCAGGAGCAGCTTAACAAGAGATTGGATAGAGATTCACAAAGTCATGAGGGGTCTGGACAGAATGAGTAGGGAGAAAACGTTCACACTGGCAGAAGGATCAAGAACCAAAGCCCACAAGTTTTAAAGTATTTGGCAAAAGAAGCAATGGCAAGATGAGGAGAAATGTTTTCTTGCTGCACATGATTAGGATCTTGGATGCACTGCATTAAAATGCGGTGGAGGTAGGTTTGTTCAAGGTTTTCGAGAGACAATCAGATTATTACCCGAGAGGGAAGAACGTGCAGGACTACAGGGAGAAGGCTATGAGGAGTACCAGGTAACTTGCCCTTTGAGACTGCATGTTCACATTGGGCCAAATGGCCTCCTTCTGTTTTGGAAGTGGAAGTGGGATGCATTTTGTTCAAGTGAAAAGCAAGGAACTTTCCACTGGCAGAGGACCAACGGACACCAGACAATTCAACCATTAATTTGGGATGGGAAATAATGAGAATTTTGTTTTGACATTGTGGGTTGTTGTAGTCTGGAATGCACTTGTCTTAATGGGAGGGGTGGAAGCATGTCCAAGTGTAACTTTCAAAAGGGAACCAAACAAATATTTAAAAAGGAATGATTGGCAGTGTGATGGAGGAAGTGAGGGTCAAGGGAGGGGGAATAAATAGTCGCTCTTTCACAATGGTCCTTGCAGGCACAAGGGGCTGAATGGCCTCTTCACATATTGTCACATTCCATCATTCACAATGAAGATGGGTTTGTCAGACAGAGGATGAGCTAAATGAGGACTCCAAATTGGAAAGGAGCAGATTTGGAATGAGAGATGGCAGTGGCAACATCCCAATATTATCCGAGTCAACTTTCAGGCTGGTTGCAAGGGGGCTTGGAGAGACTCAGGAAAAAGCAAGAGATGAAATTTTTTTTCTGAAATGGAAAGTTTTCAAACCTTGAGGTTTGTTCTCTGAGGTTTTCATGGGAATGTGGACGAATAGCAGAACATCAGCTACAGGGCAACTGATTTCAAAACCCTTTCACTGAGACACTGTGTTCATTGAGAAATGTTGGACTTACCAATGTCTCCCTGGTCATTGAGGTCAAACTCCATGTATTTCTCTGAAAAGCAATGAAAGAACATTTACAGAGGATCACTGAGACTGAAATAAAAGACCAGATTTAGCTGGCCCAGACACTGGTTGGAAGTTTGATGTTCGCCCTTCCTGATTTTACAGCAAGTTTAAGACGTGGGACAAGGCTATTGGTCTAAGCTGGTGTTTACACCCCACTGCCAATCCGCACTGGCGCAGACACATTCATAGGATACCTTCAAAGATTCTGAGCAGAGAACTGGCCGCTGGATCACGATCTCCTGGGTGTCTGCCACAGGGACACCCACAAATGAGATATGAAGATGGCAGACATCAGTATGGACAACTTGGAGAAAGTAACTGATGTCCATGACGTTGGAGGGTGATGGTGAGGTGGGGGGTGGGGGGGATGCGGGGAGGGTACTGACTGTCATGGGGCAGTGGGAGACAAGCAGAAACGGAAAGCTCAGCATGGCCAAGAACAGGGCCTGGAGGAAACAGAAGCCGGAGAATCCTGCATCTGCTCAGCGTAATGTCTTCCTCCGCAACAGACGTGGCTGAGGCTACACCAGGCTAGGAGTTGGGCTCCAGAACCGCAACTGACACAACGATGAGCAACACGGCACAAATCAACATCTCACACAGCTACTGACTGAAGCCTTCCCAAACCTAGGCTTTGTAACATCCGTTTCTCCCCCACGCATTTACCAAACTTCCACTTAGCTTTCCACTGACTTCAGAACAAGCGCAAAGGAGGTGCAAAACTATTGCCTGAATCAAAGTCTTTAAAGCTAGAAGAAGGTGGAACCTATTAAAGGAGGAGGGACCAACGTGGAGTAGTTTAGATAAGGAATTCCAGCACTCAAGGCCCAAGCAGCTGCAGGAATAGATTTCAGTGATAGAGTGATAAAAATCAGAGGCAAAGATTGGAGGGGCGTGCAGCATTGCTGGACCACTGGCGGTTACAAAGATAGGAAGTGGGTTAGGCCCAGAGATTTGAAACCAAGGATGATAAGTTTAAGATCAGGGCTTTGCTGTACCAGGGACCAAGACAGATCTGAAAGCTTCAGGGAGTTTCAGGGTCGAACAAGATCTGATGAGGGGTATGGGCAGCTGCAACAAATGTCCGAATGATTGTCTCAGGCCTTGTTGTGAATAGGATCCAAGGAACAGGAGCAGGCCATTCAGCCCATCAAACCTGCCCCACCTTTCAATATAGTCATGGCCAATTGAACACCACAATGCATTTTACTCACCCTGGCTGATTGAGCACCACAATTCATTTTACTCACCCTGTCTGCACTGCCATGTACTCCACTGGTAACCAGAAACCTGTCAATCTCTACATTAAACATAATCAAGGACTGAGTTTCTATAGCTCTCTTTGGGAAACAGTTCCAAAGTTTCACAACATCCGAATAAAAAAAAATCCTCCCCATCCCTGACCTAAGTGGCATCCCCCTTATCTTTTAAATAACGTTCCCAGTTCTAGACTGTCTAGCCAGGATAAGCACCTACTCTATGCATCCTTTTAAGTGCCTGGTAATCTCATTCTTCACAGCTCTGGAGAATGTAGTCCCAGTTTGCCCTATCTCTCTTCATAGGACATGGGGTGGGTTAGTCCAGCCAGATGTGAAAATGGCCATCACGCTTCATCTGAACTCATTGGGCAGAAAATTATTAAACCCCGATCACCTCTAACACCACGCCAACCCCGACTGAACTGGATAAAATCAGGCACTCTACTACACTGAGCTCAATACTTCACATCACCAATCCATATCAAGCAAATTTGACAGCAATGAACAGAAGAATTACGTTTGAAAGCTGTGAGCTTCTCATCCAGGTTTTTATCAGTGTTGTACTTTGGGTTATTCAGGAACTCCTACGAAAGAGAAAGATCTCAGTCATTATTGAAATCAGAGTTCGGAGAGGCAGACAGAAGACGCAATCATTGAATCAGTTATTACATGGCTCTCATGCTCCCGCTCCATCACTCAATCTTCAACATTCTAATTAGCAATGTCTGGGGAGGTGGGAGGGGTCAGAATATCACATTTCAGACACATTGTCTCAACAAGAACAACACCAATTTGCATTCATGCAGCATCTTTCATGTAGTGAAATGTTTCAAGGTGCTGTAGTGATGTGATTATCCCATAACTTTTGATCAAAGGAGTTGAAATGATAGCAGTTTCTAAGGTTGGCTGAACATTATTGACAGTGCTTTAATATACCTCTTGCAGTCAGTGAATGACTGCTCACACACTTACAGTTTCTGTGGTGCTTGTTTATTTTGCTCTAATCAACACCCAGACTGAAGCAATCAAGCACATTGACCACAGATCAGTTACCAGACTGAGGTAGTCAAACAGAAAACAATTGAACGAGTGAATGCTGCACATGATTAATGAAATGCGACTTGTTTTGTACCACTGCCCAGGTCAGATTCATACTCACCTGACTCCTTGCGCTGTCTCTTTCTTGACCTCATTCGATACCATCATCTCCAAACTGCGAACCTCCGAACTGCATTCAGTCTTGGTTCTTGCTTACAATCTACAATCTTTTGAAACTGCTGCCTGAACACATCTTGCCACAACCTCTTGACCTGTTCCACCTTCACAGCTTTGAGTCCACTCGCCATCTCTCTGTAACCTAAAACCCTCCAGGATGTCAGTGTTCCAAGCTTCTGGGCCTCTACTAATTTACATTGTGGGCAGCACAATGGCTCAGTGATTAACACTGCTGCCTCACAGTGCCAGGGACCCGGGTTCAATTCCACCCTGGGGTGACTGTCTATTTGGAGTTTGCACATTCTTCTCATGTCAGCAAGGGTTTCCTCCCACAGTCCAAAGATGCACAGGTTAGGTGAATTAGCCATGCTAAATTGCCCATAGTGACAAGGGATGTGCAAGCTGGTTTAGCCATGCAAATGCAGGGTGACAGGGATGTGGTGAGTTTGGTTCAGATGGTCTTTGGAGGCCCACTACCTGTCAGCAGTGCATTTATCTGACCTGGGCCCTAAGTTATAGATCTCCCTCAATAGACCATGTTGATGTTTTGCTTCAAAGACCACTTCAGAGTTTAGGGTTTCCCTGTCTGAAAGGGCTACTTTTTTGGGCCTCTCTTATCATTAACACAACCATTCATCTCCCTCTCTCTCGCTCTCTCTCTCTGTCTTTCTGTACTATAAGCAGTTACATTCTGCTGTGCTTTCAAGTTTCAATTCCCTCTCTTCGCTGAGATTGACTGGCCGCACGCTCCCATATTTAGCAGCAAGCGCCACACACAAGGGGTCAGTCAGTTCCACCACATTTACTGCACAGGAAATGCTACCCACAGCCCCCTGCTCTACAGCACAATAGGGAATATGCTTCCTGGCTGATCTAGCCACCGTGCACTGACAGTAAACCACATGGCAGTCCAGACTTAGAACATTTCAGGCACAGGAGTTGCGAGGCGTAACGGCTGATTTGGTCAATTTTGTAGACCCTTCAGACTAGAACTGTCACAATCCCTCGACCAGCAATGCCAAGGGGAAGAGCTGGAGTGAGGGATTGAATGCAGTCAGCTGGAAATAGCTGATGTAATGAGGCAGTGTGTTGCTTCCTCAAATTAAAGCAAATAATTAATATTCATTGCTCTAGGCTGCAGGAGCAACACATTACACTGGCTACTGGAATCCTCGCCCATGCCTGCAATATTGCGGAACCTTTCACACCCTCTGAACTTCCAAAGAGCTTCACCACCAATGTTCCATTTTGTAGATCACATGACGCAGCTGTTTTTGTGCACAGGAAGAGTTCACAAATAGCACTGAGAAGTAAGAGCAGTTCTATGTGCATTTTGTTCCTGTTAAGTGACATGGATCAGGGAAATATATTTTGGCCACGTCACGTAGAAAGTTCCCCTGCCTTGCTCAAATATGGCAGTGCGCCATTTCATCCCACCAGAGAGACCAGGCACAGTTTGACAGATTAGCCACAAGGCAACACAAAAGCCCTCTGGCTGTAAAAAGTAAAAGTAAGGAAGTTACGTTTCTTCTTCAAAGGGCATTGGTGAGACCACATCTTGAAAACCGTGTGCTAATTTTGGTCTCTTTATTAAATAAAGATGTGAATACATTGTAGGCGGTTCAGAAAAGGTTTATTAGATCAATATCTGGAATGATCTAGTTGGCTTCTGAAGATAGGTTGGACAGGCTGGGTTTAATTCCACTGGAGTTTAGGAGAATGAGGGGGTGACTCGATTGGAGCGTACAAGATCCTGAATAGTCTTAACGAGGTGAACGTGCAGGGAGCACACAACTAGAGGGTACTGTTTCCTGGGTTTATGTCTCACCTGCTCCAGAGGTCTGAACAGGTTGATTAGAAAAACAGGTTAAAAATTTAGGACAAAGAAGAAGAGAATTTTATTTTTCTCTCAGAGCTTTGTACGACCTTTGAACTTTTTGCATCAGAAGGCAGCGGTGTCATTGAATATTTTTAAGGCAAACATTGATACATTCTTTTTGGGAAGGGGCAATCAACATTTACCCTGAGGGTGTGGGCTAGACAGAAATGTGAAATTTGAACCACAAACATTATCAGCCAAGACCTTTTTTAAAAAGCAGAGCAGGCTTGACGGGCCAGATGGCATGTTTCTGCTCCGAATGTGTATGAAAAGTGGGGGAGACGACCCAGAACATGTGGCAAAGGATCAGAAGAATTTTACAGCTTCTCCCAAGGTCGTATGGGAGAGGTCTTAAAGGTAGACTCCTTTTCAGCGCCTGTCCACACACCCCTGCTGCAATTTTACCAAGGGCTGGGAGAATACAGGTCAGTCCATTCATGCCTAGAACAATTTAGCCCCATAAGTGACCTAGAGAGGCTGATGCAAAATGGGATAATGCAGAGAGATCTTTACTCTGTATCTAAACTCATGCTTTACCTGCCCTCGGACTGTTTGAGACAACAGTTTAGAGACAGCTTTACTCTGTATCTAAACCCGTGTTTTACCTGCCCTGGGACTGTTCGATGGGACAGTGCGTAGAGAGCTTTACTCTGTATCTAATCCCACACTGCATCTGCCCTGAAAGTGTTTGACAAGACAGTGTAAACACAGTGTCCTAGAGATTCTTTGTGCTAATAATTGGTGCCTGGTATGGAAGCATTTTCGCTGTTATTATTAATAATGGTTATCTCCATGAACTCAAACTTACACAAATTATTTTTTTCTTATCTCAGCCCTGTCTTTTTTATGCACCTATCCCTTCCTTGCCTTTTTCTGTACCTTATTGATTGATTCCAGACGGTCATCCTGTTGTGCTTTGAGAATTCCGAAAGCTTTACCACCTGAAATATTGAAAAATGAAAGCTCTTATTCAAAGAAGGTACTTCAACGAGGCAGCAGTAGAGAATCACTACATTATATCCAACCTGTGTTGTGCCTGCCCTCAGAGCGTTTGATGGGACAGTGTGATCTAAGAGCAAGAATAGGCCATTCAACCCCTCAAGCCTGCTCCACTCTTCTAGATCATGGCTGATCATCTATCATAAACCATATTCACGTGCTGTCCCCATATCCGTTGAATTAATTACTAACTAGAAAACTATTGCTCTCTGCTTTGAAATGACTGAACAATAAAGTTTCCAAAGCCCTCTGGAGCAGAGAAATTCAAAGAGACCTCACCCTCTGAGTGGAGAAATTCCTCCTCATCTCAGTCATGAATGGCCTGTCTTTTACTCTCACCCCACAGCCAGGGGAAACATTCTTCCTACATCTACCCTGTCTATCCCTTTGTGAATTATATACCGTATATACTCATGTAAAAGTCAAACTTCTTAGACTTTTTTTAAGGTTAAATTTATAGCATCGACGATTACATGGATACTACTTTTGAGGGGCTAAAATTCATGTCCAAAATACCATATCATTAGCAGAACACCAATTGATCTCTAAACGAATAAAGAAAAATGAAACACAATGAATTACGATAATTACTGTAATATCCTTTAGTTCAGCATGCAGCTTTTGTGCAGTCTTAGTTCTCTGCCAAGGTATTAAGTCATGCCTTCTCATGAACATTGTGCACCATCCAGCATTTGCCTTAAAATCCGAAATTCCATCCTTCTCTAATTCATTTTGTGCATGGATTCAGATGGCTTCACAACTAAAGCATTTTCCATTTTGATGATTTTCAAGTACCCAGTCAGCAACTTTTTTCTCCAATTGTGACCACTTGCTAGATTTGCCTCTGTTGACACAGTTTCGTTTTGGCATTGTTGAAAGTTGGTTTGATATCTTTCTCCAGTCTCTCACAAGTTTCTCCAAAAGGCAAAATTCTTTTGCTGCTACAAGTTATTTGTCTTCTCTGCAACTTCAATAACTTTCAGTTTATATGCTGCTGCATATGTTTTGTTTTTTTCTGGGGGGCACTTTTACACAAAATGATGAAGAAATTTCAAATACATAATAGGATGAAAAAAATTAATTTCCTCATCATAACATTTATGTACAGGGTAATACCTGGATTCACAAATGTTGATCTGTTATCTGTGAAGAACTAGGGTCAAATTTTACACGAGATATATGGAAAATTCCAGATTTTTGGCCAAAAATAGAGGGTTGACTTCTACATGAGATCAACTTTTACTTGAGTATATATGATACGTTTCTTTGAGGTTGTATCTTTTTTTTTCCTAAACTGCAGGCCTGATCTCCTTAATCTCTCCTCATAGGGAAATCCAATTATCCCAGGTGAACAAAGGTGAACCTTTGTTACACCCCCTCAAGTGTTACACAAGTATATCCTTCCTTAGGCAAGGGGACTAGAACTGCACACAATATTGCAGTTGTGGTTTAATCAGTGTTCTATACAATTGAGACAAAACTTCTTTCCTTCTGTACTGAAATCCTGTTGCAATAAAAGCTAACATTCCATTTGCCTTTCAAATTGCTTGCTGCACTTGCATGTTAGTTTTTAGTGACTTCTGACCAAGGACACCCAGCTCCCTTTGTACATCAGCACTGCCCAGTCCATCAACATTTCAGAAATATTCTGCACCTCTGTCCCTCCTACTGGAGTGAATAACCTCACACTTATCCACATTATATTCAATCTGCCATGCTCTTGGCCATACACTGAGTCTGTCTAAATCCCCCTCAAGCCTCACTGAGTCCTCCTTACAATTCATATTAAGTTTTTTACCATCTCCAAAGTTAGAAATATCGCAATAGATCCACACATTCAAATCATTGATATATTATTTATGAACATCTGGGACACAAACACTGATCCTTGCAGTATCCCATTGGTCATTGGTCATAGTCTGCCAACCTGACCTATTCCTACTCTCCACCTTCTACCCATTAACCAATCCTTAAACCATGCCAGTATTTCACCCCCATTTCCATCAGCATTAATTTTGTTCACTGACCTCCTTTGTAAAACTTTGTTGGAAGCCTTCTTAAAACCAAAATGTACCACATGCACTTGGAGCCCCCAATATTGACTCTGTAAGTAACATCCTCAAAAACTCCACCTTTTGTAACACATGATTTCACCTTCATAAATCCACTGTTGTCTCTGTCCAATCAACAATTGGCGTCAGGCTAACAGTTCTGTACTTTCCTGCTTTTTCTCTCCTTCTTTTCCAAAGCAATAGAATTGCATTTCCAATGTTCCAATCTGCAGGCACCTTGGCAGAATTAATAGAATTTTGAAAGCCGATCACCAATTAGTCCACTATCCTGTATCCATTCTTTCAACATTCTGGGGTAAAACTAATTGGATGTAGGGAATTTTTCAACTTTCAGTTCCATTGATCTTTCCAATACCACTTTTTAAGAGACAGTACTCTGGATCTAACTCCTTGTTGTGCCTGACCTGGGAGTAATGTCTATAAGATGTTAAAGGGAATTGACAAAGTAGACATAGAATGGATGTTTCCTATTATGTGGCAATCTAGAATGAGATCTCATAGTTTTAGAATAACGGGTAGCAGATCTAAAACAGAGATGAATAGAAAATCCTTTTCTCAAAGGGTCATGAACCCCTGGAATTCACTACCCCAGAATGTGGTGGATGCTGGGACATTGAGTAAATTTAAGGAGGAGATAGACATAGTTTTAATCATCTATGGATTGAAGGGTTATGGAGTGTGGACAGTTGAGAGATTTGAGTCTGAGATGAGATTAGATATGATCCTACTGAATGGCAGAGCAGGTTTGAGAGGCTGAATTGCCTACTCCTGCACCTGGTTCTTATGTTATTATGTTTCATGGGACAGTGTAGCTTTACCCTGTATATAGCCTCATGTTGTACCTTCCCTGGCAATGTTTGATAGTGACATTGTAGAAGGAGCTTCACTCTATATCTAAGCCTGTGCTGTACCTGTCCTGGGAGTGTTTGGTGGGGACAGTGCAGAGGGAGCTTTACTCTGTCTCTAACACCGTGCTGTACTTGTCCTGGGTGCGTTGTCCTGGGAGACAGTGTCGAGGGAAATTTTTTTTTCAGTATAAAAGAGTAGGGAGAGCTTTACTTTCAGTTTAAAAGAGTAGAAGGAGCAGTTCTTTTTATCTAACTTCATGCTGTCCCTGTCGTGGGAGTGGTTAATGGTAATAGTGTAGAGGCAAATTTATGCTGTATCTAACTCGTGCTGTACCTGTCCTGTCTACCCTCACCTTGCCTCAGTCACATTTGCCATCATAACCATCTATTATCTTCTCCCTCTAATACCTGTTTAGCTTCCCCTTATTCAACACTAGCTTTATTGTTCATTTCAACCACTCTTTGTGGTATTGAGTTCCACATTCTCACCACACTTCAGCAAAAGCGGTTCCTCTGAATTTCCTATTGGATTTCTTGGTTATGTTCTTAGATTGATGTTTTGTTCATAATCGCCTCCCCACCAGAAGAGGCACAGGGTAAACATAGGTCAGAACACCCCAGTGGTTTCGCTTAGGACTAACAGAGAGAAAGAGAGACAGTTGTGGCTGCCAGTCACGGGTCATCACATCTCTCAGGATGTCGTAACAACAGCCCCACAAGGAAATTGACCTTCAAGTAGCCACTTTGGCAGCTGCTTTAATGACCTTCCCATGATCCTAAGGTGAGTTTGATGATGATTTCAAAATCCACAGCACAATTCACCACTCCTCCGATATTCACAAGTTATAGAATGATGCAGAACACCGGAAGGCCATTCAGCCTATTAGGTCATGATGGCTGGTTAGCCCCACTCTTCATTCCAGCCCTGTAAATTCTTTCCTTTCCAGTATGTAACGTTCTTAGTTTTCCAACCACTCCTTTGGTGGAATGAAGCAACCATTGGCAGTATACACTGGGTCACACTTACGCCAGCAATAATAGTCTGATCTTCAATGGGTCATCATTGAGTTTCCTACCATTGCTATCCTTTGAGGGTCTCAACAGGCTGGGAGCTTAGCTGAGCCAACCATATCAGAACTGTGCTTGCTAACGGAGATCATACAGCAGCTGAGTAGTCTGCAGCGAATGAATGACCTCTTGAAATTCTCAAAGCTTCACTAATGTCTAGAAGCTCAAATGAGGAGTGCAGTGGATTATTCCTACCTTATTTCTACCGCACCATCCCCACATTTTCCTTCAATACATACATCGTCCAGATGTTCCTTCATTGGTGCTGGGACAGTATTGATGTTGGAATGGACCTTCATCCCAGCCAACATAGATTGTAAGGCTTCAAAAAAAAAGACCCACAGCTTTGGTCTTATGTTTGCCCTAAGAATTGGACATAAAATGCCCTTGGCTAACGTCATCCTCTGCCTCAAAATGGAATACATGAGTATTCACGTTTAATTTGTTAACTTGTTGTTGCTAATGCTTCATCCTTTTTCTGTTACTGTTTCAAATTCAATTTCCAACAAAACAATGTCTAAACATCCAAACCAAAAGCAAAATGCTGCGGCTGCTGGAAATTTGAAATGCTCAGCAAGTCTGGCAACTTCTGTGGAGAAAGAAACAGAGTTAATGTTTCAAACCTGTGTCCTTTCGTCAGAACGGGGAGTGCTTAGAGATGAAACAGTTTCCAAACAAGAGATGGAAAGGCAGAGGGAATGGAAAAAGCAAATGAGAACAGCAGTAACAGTGGGGACGGCAGGACAGATTAAGGCACAAATAATATGATAATGCAAGACAAAAAGAGATGCCAGTGGGACAAGTTAAGAAATATAAAAGATGAGCCCAGAAAAAGGCAAAAATGGGCAAAGCAGAATCGCCAATCCACACGTGCCTTCAGAAATAAGCATCAGAGATCAAAACCTGAAACTGTTGAACTCAGTATTGGTCCAGCTGAGTGCCTAAGTGGAAGCTGAAATGCTGTTCCTCTGGGTTTAGATTCAACTTCATTGGAAAGCTGCAGTAGAGTGAAGACAGAGAGGACAGACTGGGAGCAAGGTGGAAAATTAGAACAGAAGGCAGCCACAAACTGAGGGTCACAGAGGCGGACAGTGTAGAGGTGGTCCCACAAATCAATCTAAGTTTGGTTGTCTTGATGCAGAGGAGACCAGATTGTGTGCAGGGAATACAAAATGCCAAATTGAAAGAAGTACACGAAAAATCACGGATTCACCCTGGAAGGTACATTTAAGGCCTTGGATAGTGAGGAGGGTGGAGGTGAAAGGGCAGGTGTTGTAACTCCTCAGTTGGTATGAGAGGGGGGCTGGGGTGTTGCAGGGTAACTGAGGAGTGGACCAGGATGAGGAGAGAACTATCTCAACAGAACACTGAAAGGTAAGGGTAGGGGATGATGGGCATCAAGCTGAAGGTGGCACAAATGGCAGAGGATGGTCTATTGAGTATGGAGGCTCGTAGGGTGGAAAATGAGGACAAGAGGAACCATTTCACCCAAGTTGTTAGCACCCAATCCACCACCTTAACATTCACTTCCTCCACCATTGAAATGGCATAGCAGCAGTGTATAGCATCTATAAGCTGGAACTTATCAAGCATCCTTGATAAACATAAAACATGTTCTAAACCCATGCTTTCCACCACTTGGAAGGACATAAGGCAGCAAAAGCATATGGGATCATGACCATCTGTAATATCCTTTCCAAACCACTACACCATCCAGGATCATATCACTCTTCCTTCAATTTTGCTGAATTAACTCTCAAATTCCCTTCCTAACGACACTGTGGGTGTCCCTACATCCCAACAACTGAAGCAGTTGAAGAAGGCAGCTCAGCACCACCTACACAAGGGCAATTAGTGATGAGCAAAGTTTGCAAGCCCAGCCAGCGACACCTGGACTCCTGAAGAAATATAATAAGAATCGGCATATTTTGTTGAAGCTTTTCACATTGCACGCATCAGGATATTCTGCAAGGCCTGAGGAGAGAGTTGTTCCTTCAGGTTGATGACCTCTTGTCAGAACTGGAGTTTAGAGATGCAAGAGATTTCAAACAAATCAGTGGAAGGGAGGAAAGACCAAAAGAGAACATCAGTGCATGGGGTGGGGAGGGAGGAAGATCGAAGAGATTCAATGACAAAAGTGGTGATAATGAAAGGCAAAAGGAAAGATGGTAACAATAGGACAAGTAAAGAAAGAAAACAGATGAAGTAAAGGAGGTGGAAAATAGAATCGCCAGGAGCCGCTGATATCCAAGTAAAACAAACAGTGTTGCTGTGATCTGAAATTGTGGAAGGTTTGAGTTATAAAGATAGGCTGTATAGGCTGGAAATTTTTTACACTGGAGCATAGGAGATTGAGAGATAACCTTATATAAATTTATAAAATAATGAAGGGTATAGATAGAATTAATTAATGGTAGTTGTCTTTTCCCTAGGATGGGGGATTTCAAGACTAGGGGCCACATTCTTGAGGCCAGAGGAAAGAGATCCAAAAAATACATGAGGGGCAATTTTTTACACAGTTTGGAATGAACTTCCTGAGGAAGTGGTGGATGCAGGCACAGTTACAACATTTAAAAGACATTTAGATAAGTTCATGAATAGGAAAGGTTTGGAGGCATATGGGCCAGGAGGCAAGTGGGACTAGTTTATTTTGGGATTATGTTCAGTATGGACTGATAGGACTGAAGAGGCTGTTTCCGTGCTGTATGGTTCTATGACTCTGTTATTGAGTCTGGGAGGTAATGTCTCGACAGAAAGACAGCGCCCTGGACAGTGCTGCACTCCCACTGCACTGTGCCATCTGTTTCACAGGCATGTTCAATTCTCTGGACCACAGGTGTGAGCCAACTTCTGACTGGCAGAGGTGAGAGCACTGGAACTGACCCACTACTGACAGGTATGAGGAGAGGAGCTGCCCAATTTTAAGCCAACCTGTGCAAGCATGTAGTAAATATGGCAGTCAGGGATAGGAAGGATGGGAACATTAGCTTGTGCGGCAGTCTGAACACTCTGCTGCTTTCCACCATTTCAACCAGGATCTTCATTTTCCCCATAACCCTTGATTCCTTTAATGATTAAAAATCGATCTCAGCCTTGAATAAACATAATGACCAACCTCTATGGTAAAGAATTCCACAGATTCACCCTACGCTGAGAGAAGAAATTCCTCCTCATCTCTATTTTAAACCCGCAATTCTGAGATTATTCCCTCTGGTCCTAGACTCTCCCACAAGGGGAAACAACCTTTCTGCATTTACACTGACAATGCACCACCCCAGAATCGACGGGTAGTGAAAGGAAGGGTCAAGGGTCCATTCCTATTGGACACAAGGCCAGCCAAACAACCTGACAAGATGCCATGCCATGTCTTCGGAGCCAGTGTTTATTTGCTTCAGTCAGTTTGGCAATAATGTTGTCCCTGGTTCAACAGTAAGCCCACAGTCCTTCAAAATTGAACACAATGTGGCTGAAAACTTGCAAATAGCGCGGAAACTCTTCCGCGGGTTTGGAGATGATTATTGCAAAACATTTTTCGGACGTGTTGTTTTAGTTTTGTTTTAGAGAAATACTGAGACGCCCAACTAAAGAGGCATCAGCAATGGTCCAAAGTAACAGTCCAAACTATTATCTTTTGCAGGTAATATCTGAGTTGTGGCAGGTAAACTATCCCTGGGAATAAATGACTATTAAAATTTCGTACCAGGGCAACTAGATGAGGAGGAGCAGAGATAGAGGAGCGGGAGCGTGAAACCGAATGGGTTTTAATCCCTGATGTCCCTGCGCTGATCCCTCGACCCAACAAGAAATTAGGCCGATATGACAAAACAAAAAACGGCGGATTCTGGAAGTCAGAAACGCACACGCAAAAAGAAATAGAAATTGCTGGAGAAACTTAGCAGGGCTGGCGGCATCTGTGCAGAGAAAGCATGTTTTTTCGAGTCCAGTGACCTTCATAAGTCTTATACAGCAATAAAAACAGAAGTTGCTGGAAAAGCTCAGCAGATCTGGCAGCATCTGTTCTGTGAACTGTTCTGAGAAAGGGAAGTACTGTTCTGAGGAAGGGTCACCGAACCCCGAAACGTAAACTCTGACATTTTTTTTCTTCACAGATGCTGCCAGACCTGCTGAGCTTTTCCAGCAACTTCTGTTTTTGTTCCCGATTTACAGCATCCACGGTCCTTTCGGTTTTTATTTGTTCGCTAGCAATTTCGGAAGCAGTTAGGGCACAGCGTTGCTGTCCCTACGACTTAAACCAGGCTTCTCCGGGTTCAAACTCCACCTATTCCAGAGTTGAGGTGTAAGTATCCCTGAACAGGTTGATTGGGGAAAAAGTCATAAATCAGACAAGACGTTAGCGAAGGAAATAAAGCGTGCTCTTGGCCTTTGGAAGCTTGCTGTGAGCAAATGGTCTGCCGTGTGCACCCACATTTCGTCGAAGCCCTTTCATTCGGCTTCGGGGCGCTCTGATGCTGTGGGAGAGGCGCTACGCGAACGAACCTCTCTGGCAATCGGCAGTACGAAGCGCCACTTCCTTCAAGGTCAGTTCACAGGGAGTAAGCGGGGAAAACAGCAGCAATGTTGAACGAATATCTGCAGCACACACACACAAAACGGATGGTCCTCTTTGCGAAATACCGCCGGGAATTGGACAGGTACTAAGAAAAAAATGATGCAGAGATTCAGGACAGCCACCAGCATCTTGGAGAGGAGAACTTTGGGGAACAGCGAAATCCTTGTCAAGACCAGAAATTGCTGGAAAAACTCAGCAGGTCTGGCATAGAAATCAGAATTAACGTTTCGGGTCCAGTTACCCTTCCTCAGATCTCGAGATCCTTGTTTTTTTTTTGCTCCTACCTTGAGGGTTCATTGTTGAACTTGCGCTCCCGGTCGTTCTGTTCGGACGGTAGCTGCGGGTTCTATTTTTAAAGCAAACTACTTGTGAACATTGAGTGCGGAGAAGTTTAACTCCCCTCTGGTGATGTAAGCATCTTTCAGTGACAATTTAGTTTCTTTTCTGCCTCCGCCCCACCCCCACCCCCACCCCCACCCACCTTAAAAATGCAACATTTCTCTCTCTGAATTTTCACAATGACCTTTACTTCAAAAAGACAAGCCTGCATTGTCCCAGCGCCCAGTGCCTGCTTTAAGGCAGACATGGTGCAGGAGGAAGAAGGATTGGAAAGGGGGAGTTCAGGGATTGTTTGGGGGGCGGGGGACGCTGGTGGTCAGTGGCAGAGGGGAAGATTGCACAGGGCAAGAGTTGGGATGCATCTTCAGTCCGGACACAGTTATTTTGATTTAGTAAGTTATGTAAGGTTCCGTTCAACTTTTAATTTGTGTTTTATTCCCGTACAGTGCTCCAGCAGGGGCGGTTTCATTATTTTTGACTCGCTGTTTTTAAAAAAAAGTAGAGGGAGTTATACTCTGTATCTCACCCTCGGCTGCACCTATCCTATCTTATGTTACGGTGGTAGTGTCCCTGCCCCGAGACCAGGAGGCTTCGAGTCAAAGCCGATTCAGAGTGTGTAACAGATTGGTTAGGGAAGGAGCTTCACTCTGTATCTAACTCTGTGCAGTACCTGTCCTGGGAGTGTTTGATAGGGACAGTGTCCATGGAGTCTTAATTTCAGTTTAATAGAGGCAGGTTTTACTTTGTATCCATCTCCATGCTGTCGCTGTCCTGGGAATGTTTGATCAGGACAGTGTGGAGAAGCAGTGTAGGGGAGTTGTGTAGCAATGTTGGCCTAGTGGTATTATGTTTTGGGGACCCGGGTTCAAATCCCGCATTGGCAGATGGTGGAATTTGAATTCACTAAATATCTGGAATTAAGAGTATAATGATGTCGGGGAAAAACCCATCTGGTCCTTTAGGGAAGGAAACTGCCATCCTTACCTGGTCTAGCCTACATGTGATTGGAGACCCACAGCAATGCCCTCTGGGTAATTAGGGATGGACAACAAATGCTGCCTAGCCAGCGACGCCCTCATCCCATGAATGAATTTTTAAAAAGCTTTACTATGTATATAACCCTGTCCTGGGAATGTTCGATAGGTGCAGTATTCAGGGAGCCTTACCTTGAGTTTAAAGGAGTATAAATAACTTTACTCTGTATCTAACCCTGTGCTGTACCAGTCCTGGGAGTGTTTGTTGGGGACACTGTAGATGGATTCAGTTTAAAAGAGAGACCTTTATCCTTTATATGACCCTATGCTGTACTTGACCCGGGAGTGCTTGATGGGGGAAAAGTAGAAAGAGTTTTACTCTGTAGCTAACTTCGTGTTGTTCTTGCCTTCGAAGCACTTGATGGGGTTAGTGTAAAGGGAGACTTATTTTTAGCTTAAAAGAATAGGGAGATCTTTCCTTTCAGTTTTAGAGTGGATGCGGTTTAATGAGGAAAAGTGGTGTGTGATAGAGCAATAAAGTGTGAAAAAGAACAGACTGTAAATCACACAGTCTCTAAGAAGGCTATTCAGCCCACTGAGTCTGAATTGGGTCTTTGAAAGATCTTTTAGTCTCACTGTCCTGTTCCTTCCCTGTGTCCTTTTATCAGTACATATCCATCAGTCCGTTAACAGTGTTGAGCTTGTCTAACCTTGTTAAGGCTCCCTGCCTTAACTTCAAAAACCTTAAAATAGATTCAGGAAAGCCCAGCATTTTCACTGATTCCGTTAGACATAACAGAAACCGCGCAGTCTCCAGTAATTGGGCAGACGTTTTCGATTTCGCTTATACTCTGAACTTTCGCCCCATCATCACAGTCATTCCTGGAGCCGAACCTGCGGTTCAAGGGAACAACTTATTTCTCCCGAAACGTTGACTGCCCCTTTCCTCCAGATGCTGCCTGGCCGGCTATGTTCTTCCAGCCTCCTGTTTGTCTAACTTGGATTCAAGCATCTGCAGGGTTTTTTTGTCTCTAATCTTATTTCTCTTTTTGTTTGCTTGAACCCCTCAAACGAAACAGTCCTGTGGGGGTGAATGACATTTAAAGGGATGGATTAAAATGTAGAGATGAAAATGAAACGCAGACCGGAAGTTTATGATACATGCAGCTTCACAATTCAGTACGGAAGCCAAAGAATGGCCTCGAGAGCGGGAGACCACAGTCGCTTGTACAGATTGGAAAGGCTGGAGTTGGCATCTATATAGAAGGTTAAGGAGTTAATAGAAGTGCTCAGAACTATGAAAGGGGTCTAGACAGAGTGGATAGAGAGGCATTGCCTAATGGGTCGAGAACTGGAATAAAAAAGCCAATTCAAGGCGATTTTTAAGCAATAAGCAACAGCGACGCGCAGGCGAAATTGGTTAGGACGTGGAAATGCATTGTGGTGGAAGTAAGTTCAGTCAGGGCCTCACAGAAGGGACGCAATGATTATATAAACTAAGGCTCTGGGGAGAAGACTTGATGAGTTGCTCCTGCGGAGAGCTGGCACGGACATGATGGGCCGAATGGCTCCCTTCTATGCTCTGACGCCAGCCCAGCCCCCCCCCCCCCCCCCCCCCCCTCTTCACCCCGCCGGCTTCTATGCTTTTGTTGTATGGAGCAGATCTGTCTAACTTGCTTGCCCCTATCCAAGGTCTGTCCATCTAAACCAGAGAAATGTTGCAAATTGCCCCGGACTCGTTACACTGTAACCGAACCTGCTCGGGCTATGGCACCATCATTGGCCACGACATTAGAGAGGGGCGGGGGCATTGACAGCTATCCTATTTTCGATTGGGTAGCTGATTTGTCCGTCAAACTCTTTGACACCGCCTCTTATCACGTTTGATTGCGCGGGAGCTGTCGAAAGAACAAAAAAGTGGTGCAAATGCCCAATCATTTTACTTGCACTGGGGCACCGGCAATAGATTTCACTTCAAGCGGGGAAGTGTATCCATTCACCATCACCCCCAAAATGATTGCCTGCTTTGTGCAATTGTTTTCTTTCAATGACCTTTGTCCTGCTTCCGATCAACAACTGTCCTTGGAGCGCACAGAGGCTGGGAAATATTAAAGTTGCAATGGGTGACGCTCTTCACAAGCCGATTCTTATTCAAAGAAGGATCATAGACTGCACCGCTGCCTAATTGTTTAGAATCAAATAGTTGACTGAGGACAGCATTCGCAACGTTACATCAGCTGGTGCACTGAAAAAAAGAGGTCTGTCATCTCATTTTGAAGTTAGATAAAGTAGATAAAGTTAGATAAACAGTTCTTTTTTGCTCCGAGTTTTTAATCTGTAGAAAGCGTCGCCTGGAGAGGCGCATTTCCAACATATGAAGGTCATCTTCACGGACAGCTAATTCTCGCTGACAGTCGGACAATCACACCATTGCAAACTTATTTCAACGTTTGTCAAAGCCACCAACAATTTGCATCTTTGATGCCTCCTGCGGTACAAGAGAAGTTTCGAAGGAGAAGCGATCTTAGTGAATCACGAAACAAAAGTATGTGGGTGAGCATTTGAAATGATTTAACATTCAAGGCTATGGGCCGAATACTGGCAAGTCGGACCAGTGTAGGTTTGGAGTATTTTTTTGGTTGATTCAGACTCAATGGGCCGAAGGGCCTCTTGTGTGCTGTATGATTGTATCATAGAATCCCTACAGGTGAGCCATTCGGCCCATCAAGTCCACACTGACCCTCCGAAGAACATCCCATCCCCCCACCACCACGCCCCCCCCCCCGCCCCCCGCCACCTGTAACCCTTCATTTCTCATGGCTAATCCACCTAACATACACATCCCTGGACACTATGAGCAATTTAGAATGGCCAATCCACCTAAACTGATATAAGATTCTGAGCGACCTGATGCAGAGAGGTTGTTTCGCCATGTGGGAGAGTCTAGAACCAGTGGGCACAATTGCAGAATGACACCACCTGTTTAAGACAGAGCTGAGGATGATTTTTTTTTCTCTCAGTAGGTAATGAATCTGTGGAATTCTTTACTATAGAGGGCTATCAGGACTGGGTAGTTAAGTATATTCAAGGCTGAAATAAACAGATTTTTAATCAGTAAGGGAATCAAGGTTTATTGGATAAGGCAGGAAAATGGAGTTGAGAATTATTAGATTAGCCATGATCTCACTGAATGGCCGGACAGACTTGATTGGCCGCATAAATTGGAACAAAAGGACAGTACAGTACTGTCTGCACTGACTGTTTTAAGCTGATCTCATCTGCCTGCACATGGCACAGCGTGGTGGTCTCTTGGCAGCACGTGGCAGTCTGTTGGCACCCCAGCATGGCAGTCTTTTGGCCTGGCATGACCTCAGCATAGATTTTCAGCCTTGAGGCAATTCCAAAGCAGTTTCCCAGCCTCAAGAGTCTCGAGATGAAGCCTGGCATGGTCTGGAGTCAAGGCCCAGCCGAGAGGCTCGGCGCAGTGTGGGCTGAGTTGGAAGGACTGTTGTTCTGAACTTCTTATTTCCCTATTTTATAATCTGTTCCTCTGATCTGTAATGCCTTTCATTTCTTTATTTTTCTAATTTTTTTCTGAAGAACACGTACTGAAGAATCTAGGTCCCTTGTACCTAAGATAGCACTGTAACTGTGACTTGTAAACTTTTCACTGTACCCAAGTGAGCACATGTGATAATAAAACTAATTTAATTCAATTCAATTCATATCCCTCTATTCTCTACCTGTTCATGTGTCTGTCTAAATGCCTCTTAAACATTGCTGTGGAATCTGCTTCTATCACCTCCCTTAGCAGCACATTTTAAGAACCCATCACCCTCTTTGTATAAAAATGCCTCGCACATCTCATTTAAACTTTCCCCTCTCAGCTTAAACCTATGCCCCCTTGTATTTGACAGTCACATCCTGAGAAAGACTCCGACTATCCACCTTATCCATGCGTCTCATAATTTCATACACTTCTTTTATGTTGCCCCTCAACCTCTGACGGTCTAGCAAAACAATTCAAGTATGTCCAACTTCTCCTTATGGCTAATACACTGCAACATCCTGGTGAACCT